AATTAATTATCATTTACACCTTACAACATCTTAGAATTAAGAAGTCATTTTCAAATATAAATGGTTTATAAATCCTGACATTCTCCAAAAACAGTTGTACAAGGCAAATTACTAACCGTTAAGAGGAAGACAGTCACTTCCTTCAAAAGGCTAAACCACCTTTTCTCAAAACTAAGGCTTCCTTATGCAAATTATCAAATTTTCACAAAAATGACAAAAACGAATCCAAGACCAAGGTGAAACAGAAGTCTTCAATATCCCTGTAGACCTCAAGAAACAAACTATAAATAAAAAATTACTATAAAATAAAACAAGAAAGGTACATACCTCTTTGCAAAGAAGTCCTCTCCCTATTCCACAAACCTTGTATCTCCAATACTCTCCCTCTACCTGGATCTCATTTTCCAGCCTCAACTGCCCTTACCTCTTAATTGAGAACTACCCATATACACAGCCGGTCAATCCTGTAATTTTCTCCAGCACGTCAATAATTGAATGGGTGCTACTTCCTACTTCCATCCCTGACTCTTCTCTTCCTTCCTTATGGAAACAACTTCAATCACAAACCCAACAACTCCCACAGTTCTCTTGACTACACTTCCTCACACCTGCCTCCTGTAAAAGACAAAAGCACTCCATTCCATTCTCCCGGTTTCACCACCTCCATTAGATGGGTTTCTGATGTGACCTTCCATTGGTTGCTTCCAACATGTCTTCCTTATTCTCAACTGATGATTTCTCCCTGCCATGGTTGATAGCAACATTAGTCATGTCCAAACCATTTGCTGCACTTTACCCTCACACGCTCCCACTCTTCCTAAAACAAATTATCTTATTGCCACTCCACTAATATCCACATTCAAAAGGATTATCTGTCGCCGTCTGGAGTGCTGCCACAAGACATATGCTCTGTCCCCCTCAGCATTCAAAGGGACTTTTCCTTTTGCAGCATCTTGGTCCACTCCATCACTCCTAACACCTCTTCACCACCAGCACCAGCACCACCACACCAAACGCCAGCATATTTGCCATTTACCCCCTATCAAACAGTCAAAACACACCTTACAGGTGAAGCAGTGATTTACTTTTATTTCCTTCAAACTAATCTAAGGAATTTGCTGATCACAATGTAGCCTTCTCTATGTTCATAAGACCAAATGCAAACTGGTAACCACTTTGCTGAACACTTCTGCTTTGTGTCCAAAGACAATCTTGATCTTGCAGTCGCTTGCCATTTCAATACACCGTCTTACTCTCATCCAACATTTCAGTACAAAGGTTCAATGAAGTTCAATACAAATTGCCAGAACATTTGCTTATTTTCTGCTTAAATCCTTGATAGCATCTCAATGTTCAATCGAGCAACTTCAGGCCATGAACACTGTCCTCAATTTTGCTTTACCCCACAACACCACCTCCACTACTTCATCTTGCCAGCAGGTGTTTATTCTCAGTACAGCCAGCCTATGTTCTACTATTAACATATACCATTGTCACTTATGCCTCATCAATAATCACTTCCCTACTACCATTAGCATTTAATTTGTCTTTTACTCTACAGCAGCTTTACTATCAGTTCCACTTGCTGCTCCTCTTCTCCCTTAAGCCCTCTTTCTCCTACAACATAAAACCCCAATCACTACTAAGGTTCTTGTGACACAGTGGTAGTATCCCTACACACAGCTCAGAAGGTCTGGGTTCAAGTCTAACTTCTTCAAGGTATGGGTCACAACACATCTAATGAGCTGGATTCAAAATCTGACATGCAACACTTTTCCAGCCCCTTTCCATTCCAATTAAATTGAACAGTAACTGTTTTTTTGTGACTTCACAAATGCTGCCAAACCTGGAGATTTTCGCCAGGACTTCCTGTGTTTTTTTTTTAAATTTATGTGCACAGACTCATTTGAAGTAGTCATACCACTACTGGTTTAATCACTTCAATTTTATAGCTTTACAATTGGCTAATCAGCTCACTTCTGCAAAATGTTTAACATAATTTAGTTTAAAAAACATTAACATTTGAAATAAATAAATAGTATTAATTTGTGACAAATCTACTGTTTAATCCAATCACAATTTCCAGCCCTGATATTACTAACAAACTTCTTTGTTTTGTCCAATAAATTTCAAGGATTGTGGAAGTAGTTGTTGCCTTAAACAAAATTCTATCTCCTACAAATATTATACCGAACGCACCCATCAGGAGCATAAAATATTGACAGAAAACAGTATTCTCAAATTTTGAACATCGGTATGTCAAATTCACAAAATAAAATCTAAATTTACATCTTATATACATTCACTTGTGCGCCCAAAAGTATCTCAAGCTATTTATGAAAGCAGATAACCGTTACTTAAGATACCAGGTTATCAATTTCAGGTTAGCTCCATAAATAATAGATATAAAATCTGCACACAATCAGATTTAACCATTTTCCAAGCCCTACAACAAATGGCATATCATGGATTTGAAGATTACAAGTGCAACCAACAGCACTGAAAAAGGTTATTCAAATAATTTAGTATTATATTTTTTATAATGAAAAGTTTCTAATTAGTATGTACACTTCATACAAAATAAGCGAGTGAATATTTCACTTATTCTGACCAAATTCTGCAAAAATGTGTTACAGATAGATAGTTGATCGGATAAATTGTTTCTGGTGGCTGCAGATGTACAATCTGAACACTTCAACTTCCTTGAACCACTCGTCTATTTTTTCATATTTAAATGATTAACTTAATTTAATTCACACATGTGAACTTCAGATCAGTTGAAAAGTCTAGATATATTTAAAAGAATGTATAGTCAAGTGACTTCTGCCCCACAAAATGGAAGCGTACAATTTCTCACAGGAAACCAATTTTATAATTGGCAAAAGAACATAACAGCATTCGAAAGAAACAGTCACAAAATACTGTAGTTTCAAGTTTTATTCAACCAATTTGTATTGCAAACAAACAACAGAAAGCATCCCTGAATCCAGTAGAAGTGACCTGAAAAACAAGCCAACAGTAGCATCTCCAGAGACACACACTATTGATTTCTCCCTACACTACTGTAGTAAAGTACTTCCAAAAGCAAGTATAAATGGGTGCCATTCATTACATGCAGCATACTGCTATTTATCATGGAGGTGTGTGGGCAGAATGCCCACATTACATGCTAAATTTTCAGCCAAAAATACTAACAACATCCATTCACTTATTTCCTTGTTATGGCTTCCATTCCAAAACCTGCCTTACACATTCGAATTAGTTACAGTTAGAACATCAGCAGCTTCATGTGAACATATTGGCAACAATTGTAATAAAAATGCACATTAAGCAACTACTCCAAGAAATTTTATACTTTTCTCTTAGAAAAGCCTTGAATGGCACAATTTTAATTGAACCAAGGTATTAGAGGGTTTGAAGTTTCATTAAAACTTGCAGGCTTCCCATTATAAAAATTCACAACAGTAAGAGACAAGTATAGGTAGCATGCCTGTAAAATATACCAAGTCAAAAGGCGCATATAGACCACTTTGAAAGTTAACAATGAGTTGCCACCCCTAAGAAAGTATTGTAAACAAGACATCTGTATTTCTACAATAAACTTTAGATTGTTAAATACCACATGTGCCTTTACAAAATCTTTAGCAAACTGCTTTAAGTTTACATACAGGTCAGTCAGCATACAAAAGAATTTAATACATCCATGGTATAACAATATTTTTTAAATTGATGAGGTCTTATTTTAATTAGATAAAACATTAGCTTAGACATGCTTTAATCTTCATCGGTTTAATGGCTGCTCATCTCAAAATCAAAAACCACTAAACTTGAAATGTATCAAAACATGGATAAATGAGTTAAATCTTTGGCATATCAAAAGTTAATTTTGCATGCAATTAAAATAACGACTACCAAATAAGAATGGTTATTTACCCCCATCCATCAGTAAAATGGAGCCCAATTTTGCCTTGGCTTTTGACTCATCTATACATTTTGGTACTGGTATACTTTATGTTAATCCATCTTCCCAGACCTCTTCCAAGCACTGCTTGGAGGCACCAAAATAAATCAAAGAACACTGAAACAATCTTCTAACATCTAGCTATAACTAGCATTTACAATTTTATTCTTCCATGATAAAGGATCCAGTTTTATCCGCAAGGCTCCATCCTTACGAACAAAGGCTTTAATGGGTGACATTTCTTCAGTCCAAACAAGTAATTTAACTGATACATTATATATGCAAAAATAGGCCTTTTCGATATATGCAGAATTCTTGTCCCACAAGTCATTTCAGTTTACATTGAGTTTATTGTGTCTACATACATATATTTTTAAAGGAAATTCAAAGACAATGGAAAAAAAGTTATCGCATGAAAGTTCACGGGACCAAACAGGCTGCCCAGTAAACTAACGCTGAAGTATGATTCAACATGAGTATATTAAATACTCAGACACGAATGAAAACCAAGAACAGATCAAGTGAACGATTTTTTTTTAAAAAATGCTCTAAAACGCATTTTTTTTTTTGCCTGTATTCGCAAACCTACACGCATGTCTCAATCGTGTTAACTGTTCAACAAAACTGAACTCTTCAAATCTACGTTTAGCGAGGAACAGCCAAAAACTGAAACAAAAATTAAAAATCAGACACATGCCCCCTTGGGCGAGAAGAAATGTCTGGATGTTCAGGAGTGTGTGAAACTAACAGACAACGGCAACAGAAAAATCTTCACTGATTTAAGCGGGGGAAAAATAAAAATCAGGAAATTCCTATCCACTCGGCAACTATTCTTACCCCCTCACAGCGCATAAATGTAAATAGCCAAAATTAAAATGAAAAAAAAATCAGTTACTCTAAATCAAGCCTTTTAAATAAAGACGGTTATATGCCCCATTACATTCTAATTTAGAGGTCTGCTGTGAATTTAGGTGTTCCCCACGAAGAATAATTGGAAAGTTTGCTTTTATTTACGTGATAAAAGATATTGTTCTTCTACCTGCTGTCACCAGCCTGGTGGCATGGATGAAAGAAGGGTCCAGACTGTCCTTCTCGGCCATCAGCTCGGGTAAGTACTTGTTATCCTCCATCCTGTGTAGCAAAAGGGGCGATTTGGATGATTTTAAAAGAAAACAGTTATTCAGTATAAAAGGGCAAAATAAATCGCATCCGGCTCTGCCGGCATAATTTAGCGTGTCTGGTACATTTAATCTTTAAAAACAAAAATTGAAATATAGTACCGAGGGAATTAAAAAACCCCGACTCCGAAGGAGAGTAAAAAGATCCCGGCTCCAAGGTGCCAATGCCGCCCTCGTGTCCCTCTGTCGTTTATCTTTTCTCTCACACAGACAAACACACACTTCTATTCACTTCACTCCTGCTCTGCTCTTTTCTCGCCCTCGTCTCTCCGTTTTTTTTTTACCCCCTTCCCTCCGCTTCAGGCGACAACGCAGATTATAAAGGACGATGAGGGGAGGGGGCAGGCTGAGAAATAGAAATCAAAAATAACCGTCCGCAGCCTCTCCTCCATCTCACCGCCCCTCCCGCGCCATTGGTCGGTCACACGTCAATCAGAGGCCCGTCTGTGCCCGCCCATTGGACAGCGTCTACGGGCAGTCCCTCCCTCCCCAATTGGAGCCCGGCTTTTTGTGGCGGCAAGAGTCTGTCCCCCCTCTGCCCGCGCAGACCCCTCCAACCCGAGCCCCAGGCCTGTCAATCATCTCATGGCCCGCCCCATGTCATCCCTGTCACGTCGCTCATAACCACGCCCTTTCCCCCAACGTCCATTCACAACCTTCCCTTTGTCCGTCAATCAACTTGTAGCCCCGCCCCACGACACTGCATTGTCAATCACCCCGATCCCCTGACCTAAGCACATGGCACGTCAACAAATCCTGGCCCCGCCCCCTTCACCTTGGCATTCCGGTCCCCCTCTCTCTTGCCCCGCCCAGTAAGCATCCCAGGACTGTGTCCCGAAGGTCCGCCCCCCTTCTAACCTGTATATCACTGGCCCCGCCCTCTCACCGGCCTGCCAATCATCCCCAAGAGCACACCCGTCCGCTCAGGTCCTTCAGTTACCTGGGACCTGTCAATCAAATCCGTCACTTCTCTCCCTCCACTTACACCATCCTATATCCCACAGCTAGTGGTAAAGTAACTCCTCAAACCGGCCGTGCAATAAACTGACTTCTCCGTCAGCTTCGTATTCTCCGAATCAATTTACCCGACATCTGGCGCTTTTTTTTTGTTTTTAAGCCCCTAGCCAATGTTTAATGTTTCATTTTGAGCTCAGTGCAATGAATTGCAACATGTTTATTGACATTTTTGTTAATTTCACAACAAATGCGCAAAAGGGTGAGGCGTTTTGACTGAATCCGACTGAAAATAAAGCAGAGTTGATAGGTCCATAATAGAATAGGGGTAGTATGTTTAGAATAGACATCATGCTTGCTGCTGAGATAGTAGTAACTGCAGATGCTGGAGAATCTGAAAAATCTCCTGCTCCTCTGATGCTGCTTGGCCTGCTGTGTTCATCCAGCTCTACACCTTGTTATCTCATGCTTCCTGCTGCTTGACTGGGGAGAAGTAACTCACCACTTGTGCACCACTTTTTGGGAAGTGGCAATACTGCCTCCCTGTGGTTTAAATTGTACTCTGCACATTTCCCCAAATAATTGCTGCATTTATTGCTGTTGAAAGTATTCGAATCATGTAACGTACCTTCATTTTATTCAGTCCTATCACTTTATTAATCACTTTTAGTAAAAATATGCGAACATAATTAACAGGAAATTAATTAGACCAAGGGAAAGCAAGACTTGCTTTTTTTTTTATCGTTTATCATAAGCTCAGGCCACTCCAAAGAGTTACAGCCAGCGAAGTACTTTTAAAGAGTGGTCACTTTTTCAAATTGGAAAACGCAGCCACAAATTAACATGTAGCAAACTCCCAAGACAAACATATGTTAATGAACAATTGGACTTTTTCATAATATTCATTGAAGGATAAATATTAGCCAGGACACCAGGTTATCTCCCTGTTCATCTTTGAAACAGTGCTATGGAATATTTCACACTTGCCCGAGAGAGCAGACCTTCCTTGGTTTAATGTCTCATCTGTAATTTGCAAGACAGAAAGGTACCAATAGAGTAGGGCAAGCAGCATCATAGGAGCAGAGGTTCATCCAGCCCTGCACCTTGTTGTCTCGGATTCTCCAGCATCTGCAGTTCCTACTATCTCCGGTACCAATAGAGTGTTCTGTTTCCCAAATGCAATGAAACTCTTAGTTTAGTAGTTTTGTCCTTTTTTTCCGACTTCCTTGCCCTGAATGTGTTAAGCCTTATTCTGGCCACATTCAGTTGCATGTCCGAGTAGCAATTGTTCAATGGCGACGAGCCACTGACCTGACTGGTGTGGAACAGCAACTCTCCAAAATGAAGGATGCCTTTGGAGAAGATTTGTGGAGGATGTTTGGAATGATATTTTCTAACTTCTACAGATCTCGAGAAGTTAAGGGAAGTATTTGGAAAATATTGAGTTATTAATCAAGTTACAAATTCTCTTTTTGCAGAATTAATGGCAATATCTGGGTGTGGAAAAGTACATTACTGTTGAGGTATCAATGGACTGAACATATTTTACTCTTAAGAAATTCCCTCTCCGACGCCTCACTACGGGAAACTTTGTTGACATGGAAGAGTTGGACCAAAGGGTCTGTTTCTACACTGTATGATTCTGACTCTGATTCTATAGAAAATGTCACAGTATTATTTAAAATTGTCAGTCAGGCTCACAGTGTGGCAGACTCATATATACTGCAATCTAGGTATATTAATACAAACAACCATGTTTTTACAGTCGGGAAGATGTACCAGCATTAGGCCTATTTCAACCCAACAAAGTAGGTGACAGTCTATTCGCTGATTCATTTCTCAGGGGAATGCTTTTATATTCAGAGTGGCACGGTTTGCCAGTTACCTGTCAGTCATCAATAACTGTTGCATTCTGAATGCAACTTCTTTACCAACCAAAGTCCATTTGCCAATAAACCAGCACTGTCCTCTCCTAAGTATAAATGTTCATTTTCCTCTTAATATAGTATTTTCATAAATTGTCCTGATGACAGCAATTCAAACAGCTTTGACAAATTGACTCCTTTTTCAACAACAGAGTCATTGAGTCACAGAGTTGAACAGTGTTAGAAAGAGACCCTTTGGTCCAACTCATCCATGCTGACCAGATATTCTCAATTAATTTAGTCCCATTTGCCAGCATTTGGCCCATATCCCTCTAAACCCTTCCTATTCATGTCCCCATCAAGATGCCTTTTAAATGTTGTAATTGCACCAGCCTCCACTATTTCCTCTGGCAGCTCATTCCATACATGCAACACCTTCTGTGTGAAAAAGTTACCCCTTAGGTCCCTTTTAGATCTTTCCCCTCTCACCTTAAACCTTAGACTCCCTACCCTGGGACGCAATCCTTGGCTATTCATCCTATACATGCCCCTCATGATTTTATAAACCTTTATAAGGTCACCTCTCAATAATAGTTGAGTTCTGTACTACTAAATGACTATAACAGTATCATTTGTTGTCATGTTCAAACTCTACAGTAATGGCCATTTGTTGCTGAACAGGTGTGGGGATTTTGCGTTATCTTTTTCCTCAAGCCTAGAACACAGAGACAGCAAGACTAAATATAGCAATGGCTTCTTATTTGCAACAAGAAATGTGATTCAGTTTGTAGTGTTTTAAAAAATAATCATTATAGCTCATTTGTAATTTGAAAACCCTGAACTTTTTAACTTGTGTATTTCTCAGCCAAAGCTGGAGTACTTATCTTAATAGTCCTGAGATAAATGAAAAACCAAATATGTCAGTTTTGTGATGCTGAATGCTTCCTAGTAGCCCTGGAGCATAGTGAGAACATATGGATATCAAATGGGGCTCAGCTGTGAGATCGATGGGCAACTCTTCCATGATTGTTGGGTACCACGACAGCCTACTTTACCACCAACCTGATGAGCTTTCTATCCTTTCAGAGAATCAAACTCTCATTGTCAAGACTCATTTGAGGAACAGCAACTTAGGCCAATTCCTTCTACAGAACTGGCCATTTTTGTGGAAATAAAGCGTGATCTGAGTCAAAGCCTTCAGGAGAGAATGAAAGAAATTTCAGCTTTTCTTTAAAATCCAGCAAATCATTTATGTTTGGATTTATTTAGATGGAATGAGGGTGAAATCAAACTAAAACGTAAATGAACTATTTCGATAATAGAAAAGGCCCCAACAACAATGCTTTAATTGGTTATAAATGCCATTTGCCCTCCAGGATCAGGTCACAACACTCCATCTCCATCCTAGTGAGTGTTGCCGAACAGAGACTTTGGGGTGCAGGTTCATAGTTCCTTGAAGATGGAGTCACAGGTAGACAGGGTAGTGAAGAAGGTGTTTGATACACTTACCTTTATTGGTCAGTGATTTGAGTATAGGAGTTGGGATGTCATGTTATGGCTGTGCAGGACATTGGTTAGGCCACTTTTGGAATGTAATGTTTAATTCTGGTCTCTCTTCTGTAGAAACAAATGTTGTTAAACTTGAAAGTGATCAGAAAAGATTTACAAGGATGTTTCCAGGGTTGGAGGGTTTGAGCTATAGGGAGAGGCTGAATAGGCTGGGGCTATTTTCCCTGGACTGTCGGAGGCTGAGGGGTGATCTTATAGAAGTTTATAAAGTCATGAGGGGCATATATAGGGTGAATAGCCAAGGTCTTTTTCCCGGGGTAGGGGAGCCCAAAAAAGAGGGCGTAGTTTTAAGGTGACAGAGGAAAGGTTTAAAAGGGATGAAAGGGGCAACTTTTTCACGCAGTGGGTGGTGAATGTATGGAATGAGCTGCCAGAGGAAGTAGTAGAGGCTGAAACAATTACAACATTTAAAAGACATCTGGATGAGTGCATGAATAGGAAAGGTTTGGAGGGATATGGGCCAAATTCTGGCAAATGGGACTAGATTAATTTAGGATGTCTGGCTGGTATGAATGAGTTGGATTGAAGGGTCTGGTTCCATGCTGTATAACTTTATGATTCCATGACTCTTCTCAGCTTGTCATGGTATTGCCTTGGCACAGATTTCCCTAATAATCAACTGGCAAATGACTGTTCAATAAACCTGCAGCAGTTATTTTCACAATTTTTCACTGCTTTTTGTTGCCATTATCCTGTATCAATGTTGTAGCTCAGTGATTGTAAATATGTAAGGACGGGTTTATGTACCTTTAAGAAACAGGATAAATTAGCCCATCAAATCCGTTATAATAATCATCATTTTGGATTGATTTATTCACAATATGTGTAGAATGCCAGTCAGCACTGGCCAGTTGTGTTGAGACATGGAGTCATAAAGTCATAGAGAAGTACAGAACAAAAACAGACCCTTCAGTCCAATTCGTCCATGCCGACCAGGTATCTTAAATTAATCTAGTCCCATTTGCCAGCATTTGGCCCATATCCCTCTAAACCCTTCCTATTCATATACCC